ACTGTGGGAGGTCCTCTTGCAGGAGGATTTCTCATAAAAGCCAGTGTGGCATCAATAAACTTTATTCCTGTTACACCCTTCATGAAGTCCAGGCTCATGTTTGGGGAAAATTCTACTTGCTGGGGAGAATCATCTTGGAAGCTGCATTCATCTACACTATTCCTGTACCTCCTAACTGCAGTTATAATCACTTATGCTCAGCTACTGGGAAAGGAATAGAAGACCGCAGTACCATAACCACTGCAGGTCTTAACAGACCCATATCACTATTGAACACAGACATAAAATTATTAGCAAAAATTTTTGCCAATAGGTTAGCAAATATAATTCCAACTATAGTACATGATGACCAAGTGGGATTTGTGAGAGGCCGACAGGGGGCGGACAGCACCAGGAAGGTGCTGGATCTGATGCACTGCCTCTGGGGAGGGGATGCAGAAAAGGCCTTCATACCCTTCCACCAACTACAAAAAGACTATAACCTCCCGAAGACAGCTGAGTTATCATACTTTCAAGTAATGGCATGGTTACTTAAACACTATGTACCAGCTATGAAAAATGTAAGTGAGTTGCGGCTGACGGCTTTCGAACGGGTAATGACAACACAACTGCCAGCTAAGAAAACAATTTCGCTACTATATACAAACCTAACCAAAGACGCGAATATCAAAACACTGCCATTCATTAGAACATGGGAACACGAACTCAACCTCCCTGACAAAACATGGGAACGGTTATTCGCCACCCACAAAAAACTAACTTTATGCTCATCCCATATAGAGCTTTTAAAAAAGTTACTATAACGATGGTACCTAGTGCCAAAGCGACTTCACAGGATACATTCAACGGTATCTAACCAATGCTGGAGATGCTTAAACGACCTAGTAGACATGCTCCATACTTGGTGGGGATGCCCAAAACTGTCAAAATTCTGGAATGAAGTGGCCAACCTAGTGACCTCGGTAACGGGACTCACCATGCCACATAACCCGGAGACATTTTTATTACATGTATACCCCCAAAGACTGGCAAAAACAATAGAATACATCACATACCAAATAACTATATTGGCACTAACACTAATTGGCAGAAAGTGGCGCAACACTGAACCCCCAACAATACAAGAATGTATACACCTAGTGAATCATAATAAAACTTCTGAAAGTGCAGCGAGAATGGCAGCAAACCAACAGTCCAAAGTGTGGAGAATAGCCTGGGAAATCTGGGCTGAGGCAATTAAAGCCTACACACCTACCACCAAGGATCCAAACCCACCTGAAGGGCCGACAGCCGCACTCACATAGGTAAAACTGTGTAAAGAATACACCTACAATTGATGTATGTGTCAATTAGATAAGAGGTGTAGGAAATTGGACGACACTGAGTTTCTACTGCCACGGACTTAGGCCGCTACTGAGCCTCGGGTGGGCCTTAATCCAAACAGACACAAACAAGCTGGGCCTTGTTAGCCCACTGATGGGCCCACACAGGCATGGATCCGATATACGTCCAGGGCATACAGACTGCACATAAGATAAAAACACCATAAACCACAAGAGGAACGGTGCACAGTTAAACAGTTAAACTTAGCCCCCTGAGAGATTCAGGGTCCAGGGAACTCCCCCCCACCCCTTCTAACCAACCCAGGTTTCCCTCCCAAGGTTTGGTTTGAAAACGTCACAACATGTAATAAGCAACTAAGGTGTACCTCCCCAAGCGTCTTGAAACTGATGGGGGTTATGCTGGAGGGATACTTGCAGGATGCTTGCGTTCTAAGCACCAAGATATCTAGGATTATTGTTATCAAATTATCGCAATACAAACTGTCTTATTCAATGTAACTGTCATGCATGTTTGTGAACAAAAATTGCTCAATAAAAAAAAAAAAAACTTACGTAAGAAAACTGTCATGAGGAGAAGGCCCCGAAAGATGTAAAAATATATTAACTTTATGTGGTTTTTAAACTATACAGTGTAATTGTTGGAGGCAGACATGGTGGTTTCTGAATGCCAAAAACAGTTAAGATATTGGAATTTCTATGCACTGAAATCCCAAGAGTTTTAACAAGTGGTTCAAAGTACACATCCAGTGAAAGGCTGTTCTGTGAACGGAAACACCCTGTTAATGTAATCAATCAGAGGAGAATGACCATAGTCTCTCAAGCTCACAGACTACATTTGCTCAAATTACCATTTTTTTTACAACAGTATTGTGGGGAAGATCCTTGCTGTATACATAACACATTCAGTTTGATGTTTGGCCACAGCAGCAAAATGTTATTCCTGGTTCAACTGCTGTCAGCGTAGGTAGCATTAGCTAACAGTGTTATAGTTCTTTTGGCCTGATATTTTTGGTTTGCAAGTCTTGTTATTTTCTACTAGATATAAACCTGCAAAACATAATAGGAGTTGTAGAGAGCCAACAGTGGGAAAAAGGGGAAACACCAAACTGTACTTACCAAAACTGGCTAGGATTCAGATATAGACAGATAGGACCATAATGTTAATAAAAAATTGCAACTTGTTATGGAATCTATAATTTTACTGCTAGCATTCCAGAGATTTATAAAGTTTGCTATAGCAGTTTTAAATGAGTTTATTTTAGCAATATGTGATTTAATTGTTTGCAGACATTCTTTTCACATCCTATTACCAATTTTTAGTTAGCTGTACTGCTAGTAATGCCTTCAGGGTCCTTGTAAATACCTACCAACAAGGTATTTGGCTTTTTTTATTTATCTGTTATTGTCACACCTACACTATGTGAGAAAAATGATTACTTTTATACTAACACGCCTTATATGAAATATTACAAGATAAAGGACAATTTATACTGTATAAAGCTTTTTATTACCCAAATATTTGTATGAAGGCTGAACGAAGTGAAAAATAAGAATTGTGTAGTTATATCATTTTCATTTTTTACTTTCTCTGCAAAACATCCTATACACACAATTAAGGTGTTATATGTTTATATGCTAGCTATGCATTCCTTGTTTCAAATAAATGTTATGATAATATATTTTTTTTAATCAACAAGTGGATTCACCAAAAGCCACTAAGTTGATAGAAAGTGGTGAAAACAAAACATCTTTTGTGGTGTTTTTTTCTTCTCCATAAGTTAATAGTTAATAGATAACTTATTTTATCTTATATCTTATCTTTTGTAATACAGAGCATTTGTTTTTAATGTTCTATCTTTTGTTTTGTATGAGGAAAGCACTATGTATGAAGACTAAGATAGAGGCCAATGTATGTAGCATAGTTCTGTACATATGTATGGTTATGCCATAATTTGTGACCAGCAATACCAAGCCTTATTTTTATGTAGTCCGGGGCATTTAACCAAAAGCAACACTCAATAGAAATTCATTGTGCTTGAACTTTGAAAAAGTTCTTGGCCAGTGCTGTTTTAAAAGCTAAGATTATTGGATTCCAGTGTAAATGGGCTAAATTATAGAATCTGACAAAGAGAATCGCTAAAACAGCCACACCTTCCCAAGCTTCTTGAAACTGATGGGGGTTATGCTGGAGGGATACTTGCAGGATGCATTTCAAGTCTACACACAGGGACAGATTATCCCTCCTTGCTGCCCATAGGCCAGTTGCCTCAATGCACTCTCTATCTATCTATCTATCTATCTATCTATCTATCTATCCACCTATCCATCTGTTTGTCTATCTATATCACCAACATTTGGGGTATTTGATTAAATGCATTAATGCAGCTAATTTATGGTATGATTGAATGGTGAATTTGATTAGGTGGATGAAACATGGAACTGGGTTGAGAGACAAAGTGTGGGTATGCATGTGGAGGCTGCTTGTGTTGCATATGTGTGTGGAAATTGACTGTAGGGTTGCATTTGTAAGGGTAGGCTACTTGTGGTTGTGCTTGTTTCTGGGAATGCTGCTTGTGGGGTTGTATGTGGGTGGGCTGCTTGTGGGTTTGTGCTTGTGTCGTAAGCTGCTTGTGGGGTTTTGTGGGGGAGAGGGGAGGACTGCTTATGGGGTTGTTCTCTGTATACAAGCTACAAGCATACCCTTCAATATAACTACAGCACCTTATAGATACACAATGTAAGCCCTATGTTTTTTCGCTGCGGGTGTTAGTGAAGGCCTCCGGTTAGAGTTTTGCCTAAGGCATCCAGCTCTAAATAGTCACAGACTGGCCCTGCCATCACTCACATTGCATGCAGAGGCAGGTGTGTCATTTGGCAAGTTAGTCAGTCTACAACGGCAGCCAAACTTGCCAAATTGGATAGCCTTCCAAGCTCTCTCTGGCGGTCTCTGGCACAATGATATCTTCTGAGGCCACCCACACATTGGGTCCTGGAAGGTTGAGAAGGATGAGTTTGTTGGCGACACCAGCCTCACACTGACTTTAGTTGCAACAGGAAGGGCGCATCTTTCCGTCTGCAAGCCAATATTTGCATATACAAGGACAAATTAAATTCAGGGTGTCTAAAAGAAAGTAAGTAATACCTAAATAATTTAGGCTGTCAGAAAATACTGGGAAAATCTATAGCAAACTGAGTCAATTTCATTTATTTACACTATGTTGTACTTGAGTCCCTCCAAAATTCCAAATTGTAAATGTAAGAGGGTTGGCCTACTGCAGATAGTATCCACAGCACCACATTGGTGCTTAGTGACCTATCCAGTTGCATAATGTGTGTGTGTGTGTGTGTGTGTGTGTGTGTGTGTGTGTGTGTGTGTGTGTGTGTTATTGGGATTAATTTCTATGACAGACCCAGTTTATTTCAATACAGGGAGTGCAGAATTATTAGGCAAGTTGTATTTTTGAGGATTAATTTTATTATTGAACAACAACCATGTTCTCAATGAACCCAAAAAAACTCATTAATATCAAAGCTGAATATTTTTGGAAGTAGTTTTTAGTTTGTTTTTAGTTTTAGCTATGTTAGGGGATATCTGTGTGTGCAGGTGACTATTACTGTGCATAATTATTAGGCAACTTAACAAAAAACAAATATATACCCATTTCAATTATTTATTATTACCAGTGAAACCAATATAACATCTCAACATTCACAAATATACATTTCTGACATTCAAAAACAAAACAAAAACAAATCAGTGACCAATATAGCCACCTTTCTTTGCAAGGACACTCAAAAGCCTGCCATCCATGGATTCTGTCAGTGTTTTGATCTGTTCACCATCAACATTGCGTGCAGCAGCAACCACAGCCTCCAAGACACTGTTCAGAGAGGTGTACTGTTTTCCCTCTTTGTAAATCTCACATTTGATGATGGACCACAGGTTCTCAATGGGGTTCAGATCAGGTGAACAAGGAGGCCACGTCATTAGATTTTCTTCTTTTATACCCTTTCTTGCCAGCCACGCTGTGGAGTACTTGGACGCGTGTGATGGAGCATTGTCCTGCATGAAAATCATGTTTTTCTTGAAGGATGCAGACTTCTTCCTGTACCACTGCTTGAAGAAGGTGTCTTCCAGGAACTGGCAGTAGGACTGGGAGTTGAGCTTGACTCCATCCTCAACCCGAAAAGGCCCCACAAGCTCATCTTTGATGATACCAGCCCAAACCAGTACTCCACCTCCACCTTGCTGGCGTCTGAGTCGGACTGGAGCTCTCTGCCCTTTACCAATCCAGCCACGGGCCCATCCATCTGGCCCATCAAGACTCACTCTCATTTCATCAGTCCATAAAACCTTAGAAAAATCAGTCTTGAGATATTTCTTGGCCCAGTCTTGACGTTTCAGCTTGTGTGTCTTGTTCAGTGGTGGTCGTCTTTCAGCCTTTCTTACCTTGGCCATGTCTCTGAGTATTGCACACCTTGTGCTTTTGGGCACTCCAGTGATGTTGCAGCTCTGAAATATGGCCAAACTGGTGGCAAGTGGCATCGTGGCAGCTGCACGCTTGACTTTTCTCAGTTCATGGGCAGTTATTTTGCGCCTTGGTTTTTCCACACGCTTCTTGCGACCCTGTTGACTATTTTGAATGAAACGCTTGATTGTTCGATGATCACGCTTCAGAAGCTTTGCAATTTTAAGAGTGCTGCATCCCTCTGCAAGATATCTCACTATTTTTGACTTTTCTGAGCCTGTCAAGTCCTTCTTTTGACCCATTTTGCCAAAGGAAAGGAAGTTGCCTAATAATTATGCACACCTGATATAGGGTGTTGATGTCATTAGACCACACCCCTTCTCATTACAGAGATGCACATCACCTAATATGCTTAATTGGTAGTAGGCTTTCGAGCCTATACAGCTTGGAGTAAGACAACATGCATAAAGAGGATGATGTGGTCAAAATACTCATTTGCCTAATAATTCTGCACTCCCTGTATGTTCAAAGAGTTGTCATAATGAATAGACTATGCACTCAATATGTGTGATCTCATTCCCTACCTCCCCATTTTTTCTTTTTTATTACATTTTTGGCTGATTATTAAAGGGTTACTATAAGCAAAGAGCAGTGATACAGCAGAAGCATGCTCTGTACACCAAACCTGCACTGAACAAAAGCTATTTTGGTGCTTTTGAGGAGATACTACTACTATCTACACTTTTACCCACACTTTTATACACACACACACACACACACACGCTGATACACACCCTGTACAAACACACTCTGTGCATAAAACCAAACTGACACATATACTTAGAAATACATACACACATACATGCACTCTATGTGTGTGTATATATAGAATTTTTTTCATCATATTTAAAAATCCAAGTACTTTTTTTACTTGGGAAAGGGGCACTTGAGAATTCTGGGCCTATAGGAGTTTGTGATGTAAATCCATCCCTGTGTAGTCCGTGTATGTAGGGACTAAGGCTGTTTTGAATGTGTGCATGGGATAGAGGCTGTAGTGTGCATTTGTGGGTGATAGAGACTGTTGTGTGTTAGGAGGATACAATGGCTGTTGTGTGTGAGGAATAAGGCCTGTGGTGGGTCGGGAAGGGGCAATAAGTACCTCCCTTATCCTTCTTAGCACACACACACAACAGAGGCTATAGTGGTGTGGATAAGGGCTGTAGTGTGGTGGATACTATAATAGCTATAGTTGTAGTACATGGGCTGTAGTGGGGGATATTTACTGAGGGGTAGCATTAAAAAACAACAACAACAAAAACCTGAAAATAAGTCAAAATAAAGTTTATTTCCCCCTTCATGAGGCTTACCTTAAGCCATATACAACAAGCGTGAGAACAAAGTCGTAGGAATGACATGGATATACTGTGGCCAGCACCATTGTCCTTCTGATCTGCGTGAGCAGAGTGCACAGAAAGTCCAGACTTCCACGCCATACAGCCACACTGTCCACCAACTCCAGGATCCATTGAGGCTGGTGGTGGTAGCTGTTGTGACAGTACCTCCCTTCCACTGAGATATGCCCACCAGGCGGAATGTGCCCAACTTGTCAGGAAAATGGGAATGGAAGGCATACACAAGATGAAGGAAGTGAATATCAACAGCGAGCACCCAATGTTCTTTAGGGCCATACCCACTCTAATCGGTAAGACATTGGAGCCTGACATGGGAAAGGCAAGTGTTAAGTAGAGACTCCACCTCAAACATCTCCTGTCCATCCACAGCAATAGGAGGATGAGTTCTAGGTCTGGTGTGATCAAAGGTGTCATCAGGGAATGTGAAATACACTGATAATGTACATCTGTTTAAGTCCAAGGCATTTGAGGCTGCAATAATCCTACTTTGTACTTTAAAGGGACCAATAAACCAAGGGACAAACTTTGAAGACGGGACATGGAGACAGATATTATAAGTCTCCCCTACTACAAAAGAAGGAGTTGCATGACAGCCTTTCTCTTTCTGCCCCTTTTGCTGTGCAGCTGACCTTTCCAAGAGATGTTGAAATTGCTCCCAAGTCCTATATAGTGTAGCCAGACTCATGCCCACAGTCACACACCAGGCAGAGTCAATGACACGCAGTCATACACATAGTTACAGGCACAAACACACAGGAACAGATGCACACACATAGTACAGGCATGCACATACACAGTCAAACACCACACACACAATCACAGGCATACAATCACAAACATAGTCAAAGTTACTGTTACAAGGAAATACAGGCACATACACAGTTACAGTCACACAGAAAGTTTAACATTTAAGTCAAAATGCTGATGTAACACTTTTAATAGTGTATAGTGATGCCCCTGGGACAGGATCATCAACTGATCCTATATGTGGTACCTTAAAGGAGTCTGAGCCATTCTTCAACAAATGGTGGACTTTTTTTCACTAGGACCTCTTTGTACTCTCTTAAATTCAATAATCATAATAACAGATGCCACAAAGAACACCATTTGAAAATGTTGTATACCGTGGCTATGTGAATATGTGGAGTAAAATTTAATTTGTGCCACTTGGTTATTGGAGCAATTTACATTAGATAACTAAATCAGAAAATAGACTTAACATAGGAGAGGAAAGGAACACTGTAGACACTATAACAATTTAATCTTTTTGATGCTATAAAAATGTTCACATTTGTCCAGTTTCCTAAATCTTCGTAGTTCTCTTGTATGAGGGCTTGTATGTGATGCTTCCAGCCATGCCCCTAAGACCTCTGCATCAGAGAACCGGTAATAAAACTTCCGGCTCTCATATCTAAATATACCCCAACGCCCTGACGTTAGCCTCTTAGAAGTGCATTTTTTGTTCATCACTCGTGAACATGCACACCGCACGCATGCGCAGTGTTGAGTTCAGCTTCTAATACAAATTCATAGTGTTGAGCGAGAGTCGCACTTACAAATAAGGTCCACAAAGGTTCTAAATAAGAAGCATTAAAATGAACCACTGTCCACTGACTTTTTGATGGAAAAAAGAGGGAGCGAAGTGTTGCATGGAGACTACTGATGGAACTGGAATAAAGGTAAGTAGATCTTTTATTTTAATAATTTTTAATTAGTAAAGGCATTACAGGACTGATACAAAAGAAAATAAAAAACAAATTATTATTAATTATTACAATATAGGCTCAAGTAGACAGTATAGTGTTGTTAATGTACAAATTATATGCAGTACAACACACATTGCCTGAGAATGTCAGCCAAGTGCTCCCAACCAGTGCGCACAGTTCTGCATGCTTCTACTTTGCTCTAGAGAAATCAAGCTTTAGATGCAGTTGAGCAGTGTAGTTGCCCAGTGAGGACTAAGTAAGCTGTCAAATCATCCTAAAACAGTTCTCAACCAATAAGCTAAACCCTGCAACACCAGCAAGGTCAGAGCAGAGAGCTTCCAGATCCCCGGTAAGTTGTCAAACTGTTTGCAAACAATTTAGTTAACCATAGTAGGACACCAGAGCACTCCTGGCACCATAATACTGCAGTTCATGGAGTGTTCCTTTAAGTAATTCACACTATTAGAGTTTTTGTATCATATATCAAAATAAAACTAGTGATGGTTTATTGATTAGAGAGAATCCATACCGCTACAGGTAAGCGTTACAGTGAAAATAAAACTACTTTCAAAGTAACCCTTCAATTCATTGATTAATGTTCCACATTTCTTGAAAAGCACACAAATGCTCAATCATGTGTGAGCCTATTCAAAATGTATACCAAATTCAGTAACAAGAGCAGATGAGATTGGGTTAATAAATGTGTGCATTTATTTAAGAATTTTTCAATTATCCATCATTGAACTAAAGGATTACATCAAAAGATCAAGTTGTCTTTTTTTCACTTTTATACAAATCTATTGAACCGTGGTCATGTTGCCATTTGTTCTACAAACCTTATATTGAGCATATGTGTATTTTACTAAAGACAGGTAGTTGAGTAATGAAAGTCAAATGTAGTGGTCAGCATGTGGCTAACAGAAAAAACTGCAATCTGGAAAAAGTGATCAGTGAAGATTATGCCACATCACTGGTCTATGGTTTTCATTTTTTATTTTATTTATTTATATCTTATTATTATTTCAAGATTGGACAGTATGAATCAATTTTACAATTCACACAAGTGTTGTAAGCATGACAATGTTTCAGTTTGTACACAAAGTGGAAGCTGAAGTGTATTACATTTGAACATTGCTTAACGGTGCGATTTCAGACAATAGTAAAAGTACCAATTGTAGAGGTTGCAGAATGATAAAAATAACAAAATTAACAAAAATAAGAAAATAAACTTGAAAATATTAACCTAGAAGTGACCTTCATATCATCATTTGTGGCTTCCGGAATGATTGTGTTTACATGCCTGACCTTGGTTGAGAGTGAGGGGGCGAGGGGGGGCGAGAGGGCTAGGTCCTTCTCTTGGGACCTGTGGTGTTGTCTTTGTCACAAGTTGGCTTTTGTCTTGCCTTAGGGCTGGGTAGACATCAGATATGTTACCCAAGGTTTCTATATGAGCCTGTATTTAGTGGCTTTGTCCAGTGAGTTCCACCTGAGTTCTTCCAGAGCTCAATAGTGTTCCATTTTTATGGACCACTCCCTCCCATCCAGTCTCTGTTTAGTTTTCCACCAGGATGTGATAGTGGCCTTTGCCGCTGTTAGCATGAAGTATATCAGAGAGTTTTTTATCTAATTCAAGGGAAAATTTACTCTAAAGAATAGCAGAGCATATGCTTCTATCGGGAGGTCTTGGCCTGTTATGGTTTTAATTGTCTCCCCCATCAATTTCCAGAAGTCTAGGACTCGTTCACAAGTCCACCATATATGAAGCATGTCACCTTTCACTTTTTCACACCTCAAACACAAGGGGGACGATAATGGGTCATAGTGATGTATATCAATTGGTGTAAGATACCAACCCGAAGCTAACTTGTAATTAACCTCAATCAGGGATACACTTGAATGTGCGTGGAATATAGTACGAAATGTGTCAATCAACTCTCTCTCACCACTTGAATACCCCAACAGGTGTTCCCATTTGTGAGTTTCCTCTATACCTATGGTTTTAATATTTAACCCACTGATAAATAGCAAACATGGTTTGTGTGACTCATTTATAAATTAGTGTGCTATACAGCTGGATATTGCATATTTTTATTTTAAATAATATATGTTAATGAAAACACAACAGAATTTATATCTGTATAACTTTACATCTGCATTTTGTTGAAACATAGTATTCTCTATAATCTTTATGCTGTTTATTTTTTGCATATCTTATTTTGTTTTCTATTTTGTATGGCTTCTTTCTGCCAGCATTGATGTTTTGGGATATATATGCTTTACAAATGTTCTTTTTGCAAGTGCTGCAGTTGGTTTTTGGGTGACCACAAGATTTAACCCAAAATAGCAATCATTTAGGTTACCGATGCTTGTAAGCATAGAAACCACAAGAAATGCAGGTGTACCCTCATTGGATTCAAATGATGCATTGGCCAAAGTGGATGCAGAGGTTGGAGAAGACCCAGGTGAGATCAGAGGACAATAGGCCGGCAGATAATGCAGAGATGATCCCTAAACTAATCACATTAGCTAGATGTGTCTGTGTATATCTGGACTGAATATTTAACTGTCAAGAGTATCATAAGTACATTGAAGTAGTTTCCAGCTTGCACGGTCACCTCATTGTTAAAAAGGAGCTTTTTGAGTAATATACCTTATTAAAGTAACACTCTAAACACCATATCTACTACAGCATGTTGCCCTAGCACCTTCACTTAGTAAGGAACACAATGAAAAGCATATAAAGTAGACTTCATTGCAAATGACAGGATGTCACCACACTATTTTGAAACTTGGTCAGCTACAATAAATGGTCACAAAATAGATGGTAGATTACACTGGGATAAACATTTAAACCATAATCCAATGATGTGGCATATGCTTTAGTAGTCTCTTATTCCACATTGCTTTGTTCTGTGTTATCCACATGGCGAACAGCCCCGCTATATGTGTCTCATCACTCAGCTACCTGTCTATATATAGTAGAGAACACATATGTTCTATATGAGAGTAAGTAGGAAGTACTGCGTGTGAATAGTATGTGTCTGGTTTAATTATATCGTTTTGCCAGTGTATACTTACACATTAAATAAGACGTTATAACTTAATAAGTCACATGTACAGGACTTGTGTATTTTTATAAATGCAGTTAGTTTCATAATCTAGTCAGTGTCTGTGAAATAATTAGTCTGAATCCCAAACCGCAGAATCGCATAATGACAGAATGATCTAATAAATTAAACACTTGGTGGGGAAAGGCTCGGGAGGCTAGTGCACATCCATGGCAAAACGCCACACTGCACCAACCAGATGGTCTCGGGTTTTACTCTATTTCCTTGGAAGTGTCTCTAGTCTGAGTAAATCCTGCAATGAAAACAATGCTGCTCTGCAGAATGGTAATGTTTTTAGCTGCAGAGTAAAAATGGATGTGATACGACATGGCAAATTTGGTACCCTTTAATATGGCATTCCCATAAATGGGTACCAATTTTATTTAGGGAGCTATATATTGAGCAGCTTAATTTTGTTCTTTTAGCTACTTAGTAGATAGCTTACTAATTTGGTCTCCTTAAATATGGTAATCCCACATAAGGGTACCAAATTAGGGATCTATCTACTAAACAGCTCCCTGATTTAGTACCCCTATGTGGGATTGCCATATGTAAGGACATCAAATTATAGAGCTATCCACTAAACCGCTGAAAGACCAACATTAAGAAAAGGGATATTCTTAAATGTAATCTTTCAACTGCTTTACAGATAACTCCTTAATTTGCTATTCTTATGTAGGATCACCACATTTAAGGATTGCATATAAGGAAGCTATCTACTAAACACAACAGCTCCAAATTTGGCACCCTTAAATATGGTATTACCGCAAAAGGGCACCAAGTTAAGGAGTTTTATTTAAAAAAAAAAAAACAGCTGAAAGATTAAGCCGTAGATCCCATAATTTGATTTGTCTGAATCAAAAAATTAACTGAAAATATTGGATAAACGTCATCTGAACCAAATCATTCAAAGGACTAAATTTGTTTTCAGACAAACTGAAATTGTAATTATTCTACCGCGTACGTCTTATAAATATTATAATATTATTATATTTGTCATCCTCATTAAGAAGTGCCGTGTACCTACTTTTGCAGCTGGTATGACTGTATGAATAAGCAATTGTTTAGATATTTACATCCTTCAAGGCTAGTGAAATAGGCAGCAAGTGGCCTTAAATTGCAAGAGGGAACTAAGGTATTGTAAAACAGCATTGACAGGGGCTATTAGTAGCAGCGATGGTTTGCAGGACAAAACAATGAATATAAAGGGTGGGACCAGTCTGATATGCTTCAGATATGTTCTCTCTGTAATGGCACAAGATGAGCTAAAACCAGCTTGAGTTCTGAGCGGGGACCCACCGAAGGGCAGGCTATTTTATCTGCTGTCCGTTCTCAGAATACTCTTGCGACCTGTTTTTTGCTCTTAATGAATATAAAGGAGGCATTAAATAGCTGCCAGGGAAGGAAAGTTATGAATTAAGAAGCAGAGGTGTGATGTGGATGACTGGGTAGGAAAGGATATGTGCCAAGATGAATGGAGGAGCATTGGAATAGGGTGTAAGAAGGCATCAAATATATGGATGTAGGATTCATGACATGAAAAAGGGCATGAAATGAATGTCTGAGAAGAAGTATGTGGAAACTGCATGTGAATTGTAAGAGAAAGCAAAGGAAATCAATGACTTAATGGAGCTTAATAAGCATGACTGGTGACAAAAGTCATTACGACAGGGGCAAACAATGGTTAACTGGGGATGAGGGGCATGATAGAAGACAGAACATGAAGGACATACATGGTAGGGGGTATGAATTGAAGAGTAATTTTACTAACCTTGAATTTTTCATCAAATTGTCATACCTATATGATTTGTTATCAAAAACTTTTTTTATAAGCAGTGGATCTACAATTGGTTGAAAATGGCAGACTTACCAAACTGTTTATCTACACATTTTTCCATAAACTTTAATAATGAGTTCTGTACATAAATCATTTGGAAGGTTTTTAATAATTTGGAAAGCTTATTAAATCAAAGCCTTGACATATCCTGCATTTGCTGTGCTTCTGCTAATTCACCCAAAGTTCCCTGAGAGTACTTATAGTCACTCTCTATCGGCTATTGCATTACACCAGTCTCCATTGCCATGTTGAGGGTGATATCTATCAGGGAGTTTAATGAAACACATACATGAGAGGGTGGCAAGATGACTAGAGGTTTAGATATAAGTATTGTGATTTGTTTATTTTATGTATTTAATTATTTTATGTATTGTGACTGAGTGTGTTTCTCTATGCTTCAATGTTTGCATGAGTGCTTTTCTTGTGTCTATGAGTTTGGCTGAGACTGTTTGAGATGAAGTATATTGGAGAGTCTTTGTATGAATGTTTTTTTAAGGGTTATGTATACAAAGTGTGATGCTCTGAAATATATTTTAACATACCGAAAGCGGGACAATCACTGTAGAAAACCATGGGACCAGCAGGCACATTGCATTGGTGTTTGCACTGGTTTTCTGTGCTTGCAGCACTACAGTAATTTTAGGAAATATATGATACTTTAATAAATTAATTGCTCTGTCGGTATACATTGTATGTATTTAGCTCTGCTTTTCTTATGTTTTGTGGAGGGAGAAGTTGGTATTTCACAATATCCGTTATTGTTATAAAAGCATCACTATATGAAATCATTTTACAGTTGCGTTGAATTTTTTAGTTTACTTTATTTAGATTTATATCAAGCACGTTGCCTCTTTTTTTTATCACCAATATTAATTTTTATTTCAGTTCATTATATTGCAGTGGCTGGTGCTCATAAGCCCACCATGGAGAATTTGCAGTCCTCATTCTGCATGAATAATACATATGGTTTATTCTATTGTATCTGTAATGTAATAAGGACTCTTTCCTCATATGAATCCATAATAGATATTTTAGTCTTACATGAAATATAGTTTTGAGTGTGTGAAAAGTATATTTGGTATGTGTGACATTACTGTTCATGTCCAGGCAGGTATTTTTGACTGACACGTGCAATGCATACCAAGCATGAAATAAAAATATCACACCGATCACACTTATTATCTTGTGTGCTTTGGCAGAATACTTTTAGTGCTGAAGTGTTTTGAAGCAGTTAAGTGGAACATATGTTATACAAGGTAGGAAACTGATTTCTTTCAAATATATTGAACTAAACCTTAATGAAAAGGGCAAGGTGTAGAATTGAGCAGATGGAATTGAGCTATTTAAAAATGTTGTACTGTCTCTTAGAGGAATTTTACCTTTGTCTTTTTACTTGTATTAATTGTACCCATGGACAACGCTGCAGAATGTATCAGCGCTTTATAAAAAAAATATTCAGAGAAATCTATCTATCTATCATCTATATATTCTATCTATCTATCTTTCTATCTATCTATCTCTCTCTCTCTCTCTCTCTCTATCTATCTATCATGTATATATTCTATCTACCAAAATGTTATCCTAAACTAGTGTTCATTTGAGGACCATTGTGTAAAGGTTGACAGACAAAACCTATAAATATTTTTATAACAATGTTTCCAATGGCATATACCCATGAAGAAAGCAGAAATTGCAACTTTGTATACTATTTATTGAAACTGAAAGACCTGATTTACAAGTGAGAGGCTACTTTTAACTGATTTTAGTAATTCTTATATATAGAGGAGAGTTTTCTAGTAGGGTGAGTCCCTTAGCTCCTTTCGGATTCTCCCTTTTTTTTCTTTCTCTGATTGACAAAAACAATCCTACAAAGTAAGAGCACAGAGCTAAGGATACTCTTGACCTGAGGCTATATTTTAGACTGTGATTTAATGCCAAGTTTAAATAGTGCAGAATGAGGCAACTACGACAATACTAGTCTTTTCATCCTTATTCAGAATAGGCTGACTTAAAATCGTAGTTCCTATAAACTAAAAACACGAATTTAGTGTCCAGCCTTACAGTGATGAATGTTGTGAACAAGCTCTAAATTAATATCATTAAAATGCTGTCTTAAATATGCTAATATTGCTGGGATGCACATAAATGAAATTAAAATGATTAAAATGTTATTTAAATCAGTTTAATATTGTTGGGACGTACATAAATTGAATTAGCCTTATAAAAACACCATTTGAATCCTAATAATATTGTTAGGTGGCACATAAACTCATTAGCACATGGAAATGTAGAATCAATTACAATTAATCTATATTAATGCAATCTGCCCCCTCAATAATGCATTGGACATGCATCTGTCATTTACAGGGTTAAATTCAGGAGGTGTGATTACCATTAGTGAAGCAGGTGTACAGCACAGGATCTCAGTTATCTGATAGTTTCCATTGCAGTTGCTTAAACATTAAAATATTTCGGTTAGGAGGAGGGGCTGGGACACATATTTCACTGCTACTCAGTGTTGCTAAGGTGTTTAAAATACAGATATAGACTATATTACTGTGCTAGGTTATTGTATCATGATATTTGGAACAATACCAATACTCTACTGAATACATATGAAGGGATACTGTAGTTGTCAAAAAACTTTAGCTTCATGCAGCAGTTTTAGTAAATAGATTATGTTCCTGCGGTCTCCCTGCTCAATTCTGGATGCGCCTCTCCTAACTTTCACTGACACAGTCTGCATGAAAAAAAGGTTTAATTTTCAATCAGATGTTAAATTACTTTATACGTTTTGATTCCCCTCTCTGTTAATTAAACTTTAATCTCCTTCATCGTCTAGCAGGCTTCTAACAAAACAGAAAATAAAAAAAAATTATAAAGCAAATAAACTGTGCAATAAAGGAAGTTTGAAAATTAGATCTCTGTTTACAGGAAGTGTTTAGTAAGGCTGTGTAAATCACATGCAGGGAGATGTGGTTAGAGCTGCATAAGCAAAGTATTTTAACTTTTAAATAGCAGGGAATAGAGCAGTGAGATTCCTGGGGCATGGTCTATTCACAGAAAGTACTTAATTAAGTTAAAGTTGTTTTTGAGGTTATAATGTATTTCTAACTGCCACTTGAGGATTTATTCAATGAACACTGCTATGTGTTGCTTGATTGGAAAAATCCAATTCATTGTTCCTTATTAATAATTCCTACTTTAAAGAGAACATCATATGTTGTGCAGGTCTGTTTTTTAAGTATGCCATCTCAGTCAACAGGAAATAATCCAACCATTACCCAGGAACAAAAAATTATCAAGTCCTTAAAAAAACAAACAAAAAAAAAACAAGCTCATCAATAGGGTTATTACCATGGAGTAGGGCTACCAGATTCAGAATGTTTCCCTGACAAATGATTTCAACATTCTCTGTTGAAAAGCAGAGAATGTTCTACCCTAAAGCCTCCAACTACATCTTGCAATTCAGATTTAAAATTTAAAATAATGTCTTCTCAATTATAAATTTAGTGAGTGAACCCCAAAAGGGGGACATACCATCTGAAGTCTTAGGCCCAATAAAAGGCCAAATAAAAATCCATACTAGCCATAAATGAAAATACATTTTAAAAATGACGTGATTGCAAAAGCCTGGCTGGAAAAAAAAGAAAACTATGCCGCAACAAAAAAAATAATCTGTCTTCACCTGTGGTGGGCTTGCCGCAGAATGATCGCTCATAGCAGGAAAAGCCCTTTTTTCCACACTATGATAGTTATCGCAAAGCGTGGGAAATTTTCCCATGATATCACCAACCAATTAGAGTGCTCTGACAGCTAAGTCTCATTTTATAGCGTCAGTATTTATGGATTTTTGTTTGGATTTTTTTAGAGGCTGAAGAATCAGAAGAAAGAAAGTTTTAGATTTTTTTGCCCCCCTCTTCACTATTATTAGGCTGGGTGGAGTAGATTGGGGCTTTATTTTAGGGGGTAGCTGGGGTTTAAGGACCCATAGCCACACTAGAGAAGGGGTTACTATTATTTGGGGAGACAAGCCATTTTATTTGGGGGGACATGCCATTTTATAATTAATTAGGGCCCCTAACCACTGGCATGAGTAAGAAAATATGTGTCCCCATCTTACTGTCAATTTTAGTGTCCTCCTCCCCCCCCCCCCCATATCAGCATGGGTAGGGGCTGAGGGAAGGGACAATAAATATTAGGGCCCCCACTGGCCTGCATAAGTCCCCCCTTATTGTTAAAGGGACACAATAGGGTCAGGAACACAAACATGTATTCCTGACCCTATTGTGTTAAAACCACCATCTAGAACCCCTGATCCCCTCTTGCCTCCCTAAATATAGTAAAATATTACTTGCATTCAAGATATGGGGCTATAGTGGGGTGACAGGGGAAGTGCTGAAGTGACACGGTCTATCCTGAGGGTTTATACAAAATGTTATTTCCGTCTGCTTGACCCTTACCTTTGTCTAGGGAGGGTAGGGGAATCCTGTTCCTGGTAGACTGGTAGACTCCTTAAAAAAGGAGCAGGAAAAATAATGAAGAGAGGAATGGGGAAGATGGGAGGAAATAATAGGAATCTAGGGTAAGATTGGGAGTAAAAATATGGGGAACTAGAGATTAATGATTCTCACTAAAGAAAAAATATAGTACTTGAATGGGAAATTGATTTGGCCACAGACACAAAAGAAGAGGGAAATAAGGAAGTTAGGGGCTAAAATATCACTGTAGTATGGAATTAGTGAAAGAAAACTAAAGGGAATATCACTTTAACTTAGCACCAATATTTAATGATAGAGTAGTATATAAAATATATTTTATAAATTTAGCAAGTAGTGAGTTTAAGAAGAATAAATGTATACACACTGGAGATTGCACTTTAAAGGACCACTATAGTGCCAGGAAAACATACTTGTTTTCCTGGCACTATAGTGCCCTTAGGGTGCCCTCACCCTCAGGGACCCCCTCCCGCCCGGCTCTGGAAGGGGGAAAGGGGTTAAAACGTACCTTTTTCCAGAGCTGGGCGGAGAGCTCTCCTCCTCCGATCCTCCTCTTCTCCTCCCCGTCGGCTGAATGCGCACACGCGGCAAGAGCTGCACGCGCATTCAGACGGTCACATAGGAAAGCATTCATAATGCTTTCCTATGGACACTGGCGTGCTCTCACTGTGAAAATCACAGTGAGAAGCACGCAAGCGTCTCTAGCGGCTGTCAATGAGACAGCCGCTAGAGGAAATAGGGGAAGGCTTAACCCATTCATAAACATAGCAGTTTCTCTGAAACTGCTATGTTTATGAAAAATGGGTTAACCCTAGCTGGACCTGGCACCCAGACCACTTCATTAAGCTGAAGTGGTCTGGGTGCCTAGAGTGGTCCTTTAAGATATATAATTAAAGATTAATTATCAGATATCTAAAGCTAGATTATTACTAGAGATTGAGAAACTACACGGAACAGAATAATATACAAACACAAAATGATAAAGGAAGAAAAAGAAGTAAGAATTAAGGGGACAAAGTAAATTTTTATAATGAGGGTTTGCTGTTATAATCTAAGATAATTAACAAACCACCTAAGAGAACAGAGATGGCTAAAGCAATAATAGGTGATAAAATTGGAATAAAAGTAAAGGGACCATGCTACAGATAATATAAAATAACTAAAAGAGTAATATTAATGAATGATAGCTAAAGATAAATACTATAGAAGATAAATAAGAAGATAACAGGGAAGCAATGATTTAGGTGGTAATATATATATATTGTCTCCTCTCCTATCTTTTGGAAAAATAAGAGAAACAGGTCAAAGATAAAAAGAACCATTATCTTTGTCTATGACAATTATTGTCCCTGACCACGCCAGAACGTAGTGGATAGGGTTAGGAGGGCGTTGTGGCCTGGCAGGAGGCAACAAGAAGCTAGTAAGCTTCTCACTAGATGTTGTCTTTATGTTTTTTTGGTTGTATGGCTGGGTTCCCTTTTGTGCTGAGCACCTTATTGTAGGTTGGAGATAGATGCTCGACACTAGAGGGATCATAAAGGGACTATTACGGTCTCCCATAAATGTTTTATGTATGGGTGTTATGGTAATTGTGTTGACTCCATGGATGAAAACACGATGTATGTAAGCAATAAATATAAGTTGGCTCTATCCAGATATGATTAGATTCATGTCTATTAATGTTCAAGGGTTGAATTTTCCTTACAAGAAAACCTCGTTGGTTAGGCTTATTAAAAAAGAAAGGATCAATATATGTTTTTTGCAAAAGACTCATTGGTTGGTAAAGAATAAAAGGCCACTGCTGAACAGATATTTTTCACATATTTTTACTTCATCTTCCATATTTATATAAAAATAAATAAATATAGAAATATTGTACCAGGATATAGATAAAGAGGCTAGATACATGTATGATTTGTAAAATAGAAGGTCAAATTCATACTTTAATTAAAGTGTATGCTCTTAAAATAAAACCATTTTTTTTTGGGGGGGGGGAGTTTAATTCATAGAAAAGACTGAGAAAATTGCTAAGGGCATTATTATAATAGGAGTAGATTTTAATTCAGTTATAGATGTCAACTAAGATAAAATTATACCATGGGGGAAAAAAATACATTTAAGTATCAGTAAAATAGCTCACTCCTTAGAAGATTTATTTAAAAAAAAAAAAAAACTCTATGATGTCTGGCGAATTATGAATCCACATGTAAGGGATTATACACACTTTTCCCAAGTCCAATAGTCGTATGCAAGAATCGATGTTGCATTAAGTAACCTTATAACACTTCATAATATTAAGAAAAGCTTTGTTAAAGAGATAGTTTGGTCAGACCATAATGTTCTTATATGGTTTCTAAAAGGGGGAGAAGAACACTCTAAACAAAGAGAATGGAGACTGAATGAAAAACTATTACAAATGATAAAGCATATCTTTGGGAAATGACTGACTTATTTTTTAAAGAAAAAATTCTGTAAACTCTAAATCCTTATTATGGTGCACATTTAAAAGCATATGTAGAGGATATCTGATAAAGATGAAGGCTATAGAAAACAAAAAGAGAGGGAAACATTTAAATACATTGATCTTTCTACCCTTCAAAATCCCACCTCTTCTAGATCAGCAGAAATACTGATTCTTAAAAATAAAAGAAGAAATCTAGAAAGTAAGTTGGAGCCTCGAAAAATTAAAACAATCTTGGTATTTTAAAAATAATAAGACAGACAAGATGCTGTCTAGGCAACTAAAAAAAAAAAAAAAAAAGCTATCAATAGAATATATAGAATAAAAGATGAGAAGGGAGAAATGTAAATGGACCCGAAAGAAATAGGAAATTTTTTAAATAAATATTACTCTAACCTGTATAATTTACCCCTTAAAACCGATTTAGAAACTGTTAAAAAATATCTAGATGAAAGACAAATGACAAAAATCTAATCGTAACAAGATAATGAGCTAAACAAACCTTTCACAGAAGATGAAGTAAAATGGGCCATATTATATCTAACGAAATCAGATCTAAAGAGTCTTTTATAAGGTATTAAGGGAGAATATAAGTCCTTATCTGACGATGGCTTTTAGTGAAATGGGAAATAGTGGTAAATGTCCAGAAGAATTTTTGAGGGCAAATATTATTTCCATCTTAAAGGAGAAAAAAAAACAAAAAAAAAAAACGAAATGTGATTAACTACAGACCTATTTCTCTAATTAATTCAAATGCTAAGATTTTGGCAGCAGTTGTTGCTCAAAGACTGAGACGGATACTACAATGCCTAATCCATCGCAATCCGATAGGCTTTATGCCATGAAGGGAGTCACATAACAACATCAGGAGGATAATTAGCATTCTAGATGATGCTAAAAAGACTCATCAACCTCTTGCAGTTATTGCAGTTGACGCAGAGAAAGCCTTTGACCGCGTTGAATGCCTTTTTCTGTTCCAGACTGAGCAGCTGTGGTATTATTATTATTATTATTATTATTATTGTTGCCATTTATATAGCACCAACAGTTTCCGTAGTGCTTTACAATATTATAAGAGAGGGAATTTTGCTATAAACAGGACAATTACAATAAAACTTACAGGAACGATAGGTTGAAGAGGACCCTGCTCAAACAAGCTTACATTCTATAGGAGGAGGGGTGTAAAACACAATAGGAAAGGGAATAGCAATCGAAATAGGTGGGAGTGAAGCAGAGTTGGAGGAGAGAGTAGAGTGCTGCTATTTAGGAGAGAGCAAGAGACAGGTATGTGAGGTAGAGGTTACTCTGGGAGGCCATAAGCTTTCCTAAAAAGATGGGTTTAAAAGGCACTTAAACCATTAAAGACCACGGGAGAATCTGATGGCGGTAGGCAGGCTATTCCATATTGGGGGACTCCAACAGAGACAGGGTGAATGGAGGAGGTATCATTAAAAAAGGAGACACTGAACGAGTGTTGGGAGAGATAGGATGAAAACCAAGTGAGAACAGTGTCACCGAGAACGAGTGATTGATGAGTTTGAAGAAGGAGAGCATGATCAACAGTGTCAAAGGCAGCAGAGAGGTCAAGAACTATTTGTAAGGAGTAGTGGCCTTTGGATTTAGCTGCAATTAGGTAATTAGTAACTTTGATAAGAGCAGTCGCAGTAGTGTTGAGGGGGTGGAAGCCAGATTGAAGAGGGTCAATGAGAGAGTTGTAATTGAGGAAGTGAGACATAAGGGTAAAGACAAGTCTTTCCAGAAGCTTTGAGGAAAAAGGGAGCAGAGATATGGGATGATAGTTAGAGGGGATGGATGGGTCGAAGGAGGTTTTTTCAGAATAGGTACTACAGTAGCATATTTAAGGTCAGCAGGGACAATGCCAGAAGAGAGAGAGCAGTTGAAGATGTGTGTTAAGGAAGGCACAAGACAAGGGGAGAGAGATCTTATAAGGTGAGATGGGACAGGATCAAGCGGGCAAGTGGTGGGGCGAGCGGAAGCAATAAGTGCAGTCACCGCTTGTTCCATAGGAAAGGCATGATCTACGTGTGGTTGAGAAAGAAGAAGGCAGGATGGGGAGAATTCTTTCTTTAGCAATTCAATCTTGTCGGTAAAGTAGCATACAAAGTTCTCTGCTGTAAGGTTAGTTGGATGGGTTGCCACAGCAGGGCAAAGAAGAGAGTTAAAGGTGTCAAAGAGATGCCTGGGATTGCGGGAGCATGAACTAAAGGGAGAGGAAAATGGGTATCAATGGGTTTTCTTATGATTCCATTAGGTCTCTCCACTCTTGCCCCACAGCTAGAACAGTGGGACAGGATATTAGAGTAGATTGGTTTCCACTAAAGAAAGGAACACACTAAGGCTGCCCACTGTCCCTTTTGCTCTACATTCTTACAACATATCTCCTAGCTATTGAGATAAGAAATAATGATAAAATAAAAGGATATCAAATTGGTGAAGAACAATACAAGTTCAGTCTTTATGCTGATGATATCCTGATTACAAAAACAGATCCAGTGAAATCTATCCCAGAACTTATGAGGTCATTTCAGGAATATGCATTAATCTCAAACTACAAACTAAATATTGAGAAAACTTTAATTCTTTCTAACAATCTTAATAAAGAAAACAAAGCTATGTTGTAAAAATGATTTTAAATGTAAATGGGATTTGCAAGAACTCAATTATTTGGGAATAATTATAACACAAGACATAGACATAATGATGGAGCGTAACTATATGACGATTCTGAGGGAAACCAATTTAAACAATGGAGAAAGCTGCCACTATTTTGGATAGGCAGAATTAATGTACCTAAGTCATTTATACTGACAGTGGCGTACACACAATCCATGGGGCCCCGGGGCGAAACTGATCTGTGGGCCCCCCTTTTTTTTTTTCCCACTCCCTCCCCCGACAGACACACACAAACACATACATACATACATACATAGAGACAAACACACACAGACAGATGCATACAGAAACATACACACATGACACACATACATACAAACAGACAGGCACACATCCATACATACATACAGACACACACACACACACAGAGAGACACATACATACAGACCGACACACACACATACACAGACAGGCACACACACATACAAAAATACACATGCATACAAACAGACAGGCATACATACATTCATACAGACACACAGACAGACACATACAGACAGACAGACACACACATACAGACAGACACACACACACAAGACACACATACATACAAAGACACATACATACATACATACAAACAGACACACACACACACAGGCATACACACATACAAAGACACATACATACATGATACAGTTTAAGGAACAGTGCACACAGAAAAACAAAAATACATTTTAAATTGTTCAAGGCTACTCAAAATTACTTATTTCAGCAAACAAATATGGGTATTCAGCTATGTCATATGGTCAAATTGTGTTAAGCCCACCACTCAGTCACAGTAGCCCAATATTAGTGGGTCCTACACTCATTTTAACATGTAAATTTACATGCTAACTGCAATACTTTCAACTGCTTCTAGAAACCCCTAAATCTATACTTTCTTGTGGTCAATTCCAAAGGGACACCTATAGTGGATAGGTGTTTAGCCCAATAGGAATCTGGTTCACTAAAGTATTAGAATACTAATTGCCTTTACTTGGACTCTCTAATCATGGGTAGAGGTATTCTTCTCTCAGGGGATACTTTACCCATATTGTCAAAGGGTAACTCCAACCATCATGACCACTTCAGTGATTTGAAGTGGTCATGGTGGCAGGTGTCTGTATGTGCAGTGTTTCACTTAGTTAGCCTAGAACAGTGATGGCGAACCTCTCTGTGGGCACGCGGCCATAGGTCGCTGGGGGAGAGAGACGCTGGCTGCCTGCATCAATGCAGAGTAGGCACTTGCCTGCCCGAAACGTTTGTTTTTTCTGATCCTGAGGAAAGCCCAACATGGGGCTGAAACGTCGATCTCTTTTAATGCATATCTAATAAAGCTATTTGAATTTTTAATATAAGAAGACCGTGGAGTGCAGCTATCACCTATTTTGTTACTATATATATATATATTTTTTTATTTATTATTTCTTGTAGGAATGGCATACATTTTTTTTTCCAGGGCTGCTTTGGATTCCCAGGGATTCCCAGTTTGGCTCTGCCAGCGAGTGCACTTTACCGCTGAATCATCTGTGCATGGCCTAGAAGTATTCTCTTGGGTTTGAGCCCTCTGGAGCTACCAACTCCACATAATGAGTCTTACATACTAGTCTACCACACCAACCTCTTCACAACAGTACTGTGAGATGGTGATACTTACATACTTAGTCAATAGTAAAAAAAACAGATCTGTTGGTGCACTGCCCAGAGTAAAAATCCACAAGGTGCAGCGGAGCAACACCGCCAGGGGGTGCCTGTAACTGCACTACCCTGAAAAAAGGGTATAACCCTACTACAAAAACCAAGGGGAAGGCAGTGAATATAAAAGCAACCTGTATTGTATTACATGAGTTAGAGATAACAAACAAAAACAAAAAAATAAGTACAATAATACCCAAGGGGGAAAAGCCTTAACCGTTATGTACAGCATAGCCACAGGCTGCCAAACAAGGAAGGGTTAATTAGGCTCAGAGAGATCAGTGGTGCCTGGGGACAGGCCGGTGCAAAGAATTTTGGGTACATAGGCGAAGATGCATTTTTCCGCCCCCCCCAAAAACATCTTCACCCATGTGCCTCTTAACCTCCCTTTTGGGTTTCTTATCCCGTCTTTTAAATATCTGACTCCCTTTAGTGTATTTTATCTCCTATTTTTGTCTTTGTGTCTCCTATCTCTCCTCTTTGTATGATTCTTACATCCTCCAACATTTTGTGTCTTACTCCTCCCAGCCCCTTTGTGTGACTCCTTTTCTCCCAGCCCATTTGTGTCTTTTATTCTTCCCAGCTCCTTTGTGTGTGTCTCTTTCCTTCTCAAGCCCCGCTGTGTGTTTCTTTCACATCCAGCCCCTCTCCCCGTCCTTTAATGGTCCCCTCCCTTCTCTGACCCTCACTGTTCCCTGTCGCTTAGTGTTCCTCTCCCCCCCTCCCTCCTTTTCCTGTACCTTAGGGTATCTCTCCCCTCCTCTCCCTGTCCCTTGGTGCGCCACCCACCCCCATAGTGGTCCCCTCCCCTTCCTGGTGTGCCTCCTACCTTTCTTGTAGCATGGCTGAGCGGAGCGAATCCCGGTACAGTGAGCTTTTCCTGTCAGTCCTGCTAGGTACAGGAAACAGAAGTTCCTGTACCACGGTACACTCCGCTTGGCCACGCTACAGTCAGGGGTGTAGAAACACTGACAGTCACACACACTCAATGACAAACACACAGACATCTCTGACAGCCAGACTCACTTATCTGACACACTCATTCATTGACAGACACTCACACGCACACTGACAGACACAAACACTGACAGACTCATTGAAAAACACACTGACACACACACACAAACTCACAGACACTGACAGACACACGTACTCACCACATGCACACACTGACAGACACACTCACTCACACACACTGACAGACACACATACTCATACACACACTGACAGACACACTCACTCACACACACTGACAGACACACATACTCATACACACACTGACAGACACACATACTCACACACACACTGACAGACACACTCACTCACACACACTGACAGACACACATACTCACATACACACTCACTCACACACTGACAGACACACATACTCACATATACACTCACTCACACACTGACAGACACACATACTCACATACACACTGACAGACACACATACACACACACACACACTGACAGACTCACTCACACACTGACAGACACACATACTCACATACACACACACACTGACAGACTCAGACACACACACACACTGACAGACTCAGACACACACACACTGACAGACAGACACACACTCACACACTGACAGACACACATACTCACACACACACTGACAGACACACTCACTCATACACACACTGACAGACACACATACTCACACACACACTCACTCACACACTGACAGACACACATACTCACATACACACACACTGACAGACAGACACACATACTCACATACACACACACACACACTGACAGACTCACTCACACACTGACAGACACACACACACACACACACACTGACAGACTCAGACACACATACACACTGACAGACTCACTCACACACTGACAGACACACATACTCACACACACACTCACATGCACACACACACTCACAGTAATTAATAATCTAAATTAAATTAACATTTCCCACCCAGCCTCCCTACCTGGAGAGCTGGCGTGGGTCTCTCATTGGTGGTCCAGTGGGGCTGCTGGGAGGCGTGCGGCTGAATTGGATGCCGAGGTGGCGAGGGAGCTCTGATCTCTCTGATGTGCTCCCTCGCAGGCTGTTTACTGATGCCGCGGGAGCCGGAATATGACGTCATCAGTAAACAGCCTGCGAGGGAGCACATCAGAGAGATCAGAGCTCCCTCGCCACCTCGGCATCCAGTTCAGCCGCACGCCGCGCCGGGGATCCAGGAGGTGACCTGGCAGGAGGGAGCACTTCCCTCCTGCCGGTCACTGGAATTTTGCGCCCCCAGAGCCGGTGCGCCCTAAGGCGGCTGCCTGTGCCGCCTTATGGACGCGCCGGCCCTGCCTGGGGAATATGTATGGTGATTGCTATAAGTGCTATGTGTGCCAAAGGTTGAATTAAAGCCCAGGGTTAAACTCTTTTAAATACTATAGAGTCACCAGATAGCTTATATGTTCAAGGTAATGTGTTGGAGAAAAACACAATAATAAAGATAAGCCCCAAATAGGGTTAAAAAATCCTTATAGCAGCTAAGGTTCCTGATGCCTGACAGGTAGAAAAGAGTAGTGGGGAAGAAACAAAATAAAACATCAAAATATAAAAACCACACACACAAGGGACCGGAAGGTAGGACAGAAAAAAAACCCTGCCCCCCTCCCCTCCCTTGAGTAAATAAGGTCACCTAGACTGGGTAATAGGGGGTAACCCAAGAAATTTTTGTTTTTGTTTTTGGGTTTAGTATTTTTATTGGTACCCTTTACGCAACAAATGGGACATTTTTACCCCTTTTTGGGTTACTATATACTATATACGCATTCATTTTCCCCCTTTTCCTCTCTCTTCTACTCAGGTTCTCTATGCTGTCATTCCCTGAGGTATACGTAACATAGTTTAGTTTACTGCCCTTTTTGGCAGTTTATCAAGCTTATTTTTGGCTTCTCAATATGTTATACCTCTCTCTATATCAGACCCTAGATATCTCTGTTTAGTCTTAGGTTTTACTATATTCTAATAAAGTTTTATTTTTTTGGTACTATTTATACTTACTTTTGAGATTGGACTGGGTTTCTTTCCTATTGGCTGCCTTCTAGTAAGGCAGCTTTTTGGAATTATATATTCTTTAACAAAATAAGACAACTCTCCTCCTTTCTGATCTCTAGCTCTATAGCCCTTTCTGATCTCTAGCTCTCCCTTTCTGATCTCTAGCTCTCTAGCCCTTTCTGATCTCTAGCTCTCTAGCCCTTTCTGATCTCTAGCTCTCCCTTTCTGATCTCTAGCTCTCCCTTTTCTGATCTCTAGCTCTCTAGCCCTTTCTGATCTCTAGCTCTCCCTTTCTGATCTCTAGCTCTCTAGCCCTTTCTGATCTCTAGCTATCTAGCCCTTTCTGATCTCTAGCTCTCCCTTTCTGATCTCTAGCTCTCCCTTTCTGATCTCTAGCTCTCCCTTTTCTGATCTCTAGCTCTCCCTTTCTGATCTCTAGCTCTCCCTTTCTGATCTCTAGCTCTCTAGCCCTTTCTGATCTCTAGCTCTCCCTTTCTGATCTATAGCACTCCCTTTTCTGATCTCTAGCTCTCCCTTTCTGATCTCTAGCTCTCTAGCCCTTTCTGATATCTAGCTCCCCCTTTCTGATCTCTAGCTCTCCCTTTTCTGATCTCTAGCTCTCCCTTTTCTGATCTCTAGCTTCCCCTTTCTGATCTCTAGCTCTCCCTTTCTGATCTCATCAGACAACTTTCTAGTAAATGTTGCTGCTGCTCTGAAACACATTAGCTACTCATGACTTACTATTAGCTCTCACCACTCAGTGTGCATGGAGTTAAAGCAGTAGGATATTGAAAGACTTGTTTTTACCTTTGTAGCTGGCAATATGCTCAATCTGCAGTGGCAATATGCAGCTGGCATGGGTAACAGAGGCAATAATTATTACAAATTGAAACTATCATAATCGGCTCTGTCCACGGTCACAGCTTCATCTATGCAATGAGGAGCTTCACAACTTTTCAACTAGCCACATCATGAATGTCTCAGGTCTACAGAGTGACTGAGCACTTTAAAAAATATCAAAGAAAATTACCTATGCACATTTAGCTAACTGGAGGTTTTTTAGTATCACTTCAATGGCCATCAACATCAAGGCTTTATAAAATACTTTAAAAAGATGGTGGGAACTGTTTTTACCTACCTGAAACACTGACAACTCTTTGCTTTACTACGAGGGCTGGCTTACAATGGTAATATTCAACCTGGCTCATATATACAACTAGCCCCCTTTTTTGTATGGGCATGTCCACAGCATCCTTTAAATGAACACTACAAACATGTATTTGCAGGTCTCGCCATCCCAGGTTTATACCCTGGGGACACCTGGTAAAATTCTCTAAGCAGCACAGGACAAGTGTATCAAAAGAAGTGCTGGTGCTAAGCAAATTGCTGTCAGGACATTAAAGGATCCTTACCCAGAGTTCTTCAAGAACACTCCGCGTATGCGCTGGCAGAAAGGCATTCAGTAAATGTGGCATGTATTCATGCTAGGCTGACATGCTACATTTTCTTGCCCCCTTTCTAGGCAGGTCCAATGCATTTTGCCATTGCCAAGCAACCAATACATCATTAGAGTTTCTGCATGGATTGGTTAAAGCAGGGGTAGTCAACCTTTTAATACTTACCACCCACTTTTGTATCTTTGTTGATGGTAAAATTTCCTTACCGCCCACCAGTGCCGCAGTAATTAATTTTATAGTGCAACTGCAAGTTTTGGGGGGTTTTTTGTTTTTTTTTAGAAAGTAGAGGTTTTTTTAAATAAAACATATGTACTTAAATGTATCTATTTTTTTCCCTTTTTTTTTTTTTTTCTATTTTTTTATTCTACTTTTTTTCTATGTGTGTCTGTGAGGTGCTGTGTGTGTGAAGGGTGCGGTGTGTGTGTGAATGGTGCAGTGTGTGTGTGAAAAGGGTAGTGCGGGCAAGGGTAAAAGTGTGTGCCATGGGGCAGTGTGTGCAAGGGGGCAGTGTGTGTGTGTGTGTGTGTGTGTGAGGGGTGTAGTGAGTGTGTGTGTGAGGGGGCAGTGTGTGTGTGTGTGTATTGTAGTGTGTGAGGGGGCAGTGTTCGTGTGTGAGGTGTAGTGTGTGTGAGGGGGCAGTGTGTGTGTGAAGGGTGTAGTGTGTATATGAAGGGTGCATAGGGACTATGCTGTGTGTAGGTGCGTGAGATGTGAAAATCTATCTCCCCCTTTTACATTAGAGGGGAGACATAATGCTGCAAGCCCTTTTGGTCCAGTGGTGGTATGTTCACTTTAGCCTGCAGCTCTTGCGGCTGCAGACTGACTCTACTGTCCTCCTGCAAGCACAGCACTGTATCGGAGCATTGCCATGTAACGCACGGAAACGCTCCAACCAGTCTGCTCATGGGAGGAACACAGAGCCACCCGGGCCCTTCGCTCCCTCTGCTGGAACTGATTTGCCAGGGGGCCAGTGATGGAGATCTTACATTTGTTTTGTTTGGATTGGCTAATATTGTTTTTGATTTGCTTCTTAACATTAGCAATGATTCACTGATACCTGAAATAATAATTATTCATTGTTTATTTCCTTACCACCTGAAAATGTCATAAAATATTGCCTGGGCAAAGTATAAATGCTAAATTACATCACTATATGATTATAAGTTTATTTGTAAAGCTGAATAAAATGTTGTTTAACCCCTTAAGACCGGTGGGCGTACAATTACGCCCTATTTTAGGCGGCTCTAAACGCCGCCGGGCGTAATTGTATGCCCTCCGGCCTTTCTTTACTTACCCGGTCGCCGGCGGTCCCATGCCGGCGATCGCGGTGGGGACAACTCCCAGGGACCCCCCGCGGCATGTCCGACCCCCTGGAAGCCCCCCGGCCATGTTAGAGTGAGGTCCTTGCGAGGACCCCACAATCACATGGCCGGGTAGGCTGCCTGCTGCATTGCCAGCAGGGGGGCTGCATGTAATGACAGGTGGTCCCCCTGCTGGCTGAAAATAAAATCAAATAAATTAAGTGTAAAAAATATATATATATACTTAGATCATATATATATTATATATATATATGATCTAAGTATATTTATACACATATACATACACTGTCTAGGTGTATTTTACTATTAATATATATATATATATAAAACTATATATATATTAATATCAAATTACACGTACACTGATACTGATTAAAAATATATATAATTATTGTTATATATATTTATATATAATATAAAAAAATTAAATATGTAAATACGTTAAAAATAATAAAAAAAATTATTAAAAAATATATAGATGTGTGTTATTTCATTCTAACTGTATTGTGATATTAATATATATATATATATATTTATATCAAAATACACGTAGAACGAAATAATATATATATCTACATACATAAATATATACGTATATATCACTATATATATACCTATATATAAATAAAAATATTTTTAAAAAATTATATATATATACACATATTAATTCTACATATATATTTATGTAATATTTTTACATAATTAGGTATCTTAATTAATTACAATTAGCAGGACCTGCCTGACAACCCATGCCGAAATTAAAGGGAATTTAATTTGCTAGCACTATATTTAACCCTATAACTTTCCAAGACACCATAAAACCTGTACATGGGGGGTACTGTTCTACTCGGGATACTTTGCTGAACACAAATAGGAGTGTTTCAAAACAGTAAAATGTATTACAACGATGATATCGCCAGTAAAAGTGCACATTTTTCATGCACAAACAGCACTTACACGGACGATATTATTGCTGTGATACTTTTTGCTGTTTTGAAACACAAATATTTGTGTTCAGCGAAGTCTCCCGAGTACAACAGTACCCCTCATGTACAGGTTTTATGGTGTTTTCAAAAGTTACAGCGTCAAATATAAGGCTTGCGCTTCATTTTTTTCACATTAAAATTCGCCAGATTGGTTACGTTGCCTTTGAGACCCTATGGTAGCCCAAGAATGAAAATTACCCCTATGATGGCATACTATTTGCAATAGTAGACAACCCAAGGTATTGCAAACAGGGTATGTCCAGTCTTTTTTAGTAGCCACTTAGTCACAAACACTGGCCAAAATTGGCGCTTTTTGCATTTTTCACACACAAACAAATACTAACGCTAACTTTGGCCAGTGTTTGTGACCAAATGGCTACTAAAAAAGACTGGACATACCCCATTTGCAATACCTTGGGTTGTCTACCATTGCAAATGGTATGCTATTATGGGTGTAAATTTCATTCCTGGGCTACTATACAGTCTCAAAGGCAACGTAACCAATCTGGCGAATTTCAATTTCAAATGTAACGTGCTATATTTGACCCTTTAACTTCCCAAAACGCCATAAAACCTGTACATAGGGGGTACTGTTTTACACGTGAGATTTTGCTGAATACAAATATGTGTATTTTATTGCAGTAAAAGCAAACAGTATTAAGACATTGACTGTTAAAATGTCATGTAGAACTAAAAAAAATTAAAAAAAATCTTATTTTCTCCAATTTTTTTCATATGCTAAATATTTGATATTAAATGAAAGCCCTGTTTCCCCTGAATAAAATGATATATAATAAGGGTGGGTGTATTTACTATGAATGAGGTGAATTACGGTTGGACAGACATGTAGTGCAAATGCCAGGTTTTGTTTACATTTTGTTTCGTTCACAACGTGTACATTTGGCTCCGTGCTTAAGGGGTTAAAAAAGGGAATTAGTGGGGAACGCTCTTCCTTACTTGCTAACTGTATCAGACGTGAGCTGAGAGCTGCAAAGGCAGAATCAAACATTCATTGCCACATCTGGGAAACTGACATGTATTTATATGGTTTATTTTGTTGAGTGATAGACAGTCCTTCTAGGTCATGGTGACACAGTAACACATACATATTAGTTCTACTAGTTAAACACAATCAACAACCAAAGTAAAACCCATTTTTGTTTTTATTTTCCTAAAGCAATGTTATAGTATCCTGTGTCATATATTATTTTGCTTCATTTTTAATTAAATTAATGCATATCCTAACTGTCTTCTCTGTTCATACTGCTGAGAAGCACAATGTCCAGTCACCTTTTGAGGATCCTTCTAGCAGTCTCCTGGTTGGTTAGTTGCATTTGTCAGCCTGAAAGAAAATACTCATCCAGATCACTTGCATCTAATTTTGGTAAGTAAAAACATCATTATTTATGTTCTCAGAGAAGAAATGTGAATGGGTGTCCACTCAGACCCAGTCTCCCCCTACCGTCTATAGAGCCCCCCTACACACTATACAGCCACCCTAGCCACCATACAGCCCCCCTACCCAATCACAGTCCCCAACCCACTCACAGACCACCTACCCAGCTTACAGCCCCCCTTCCCATCAAACAGCCCCCTACCCACCATACAGCCCCTCTACCCACTATACGGCCCCCCCTACCCACCGCACAGCCCCCATACCCGCTTACAGTCCCTCTATCCACTTACAGTCCCTCTACCTACCATACAAAACCCCTACCCACCATACAGCTCTCCTACCCAACTTACAGAACTCCTACCCACCTCACAGTCCCCCATCCACCTTACAGAACCCCTACCCACCTTACAACCCCCCTACCCACTCACAGCCCTCTTATCCACCATATTAGAAATATATATATACCAATAATATATAAGGCATATATGTATGCATATATGTATATGTATGCATGTCTTGCCATCCCAGATGATTGAGTAATATATACACACATATTATATATGTATATATATATATATATATATATATATATATATATATTGTTTATATATTACTGAATCATCTAGAGTGGCAGCACATAGCTGTACGTATTACAAGTGACAATACATGGCACAGTGACTTATGGGGCTGACATAGATTTTTTTTCCAGGGCTGCTTTGTATCCTCAGTCCGGCCCTGTCCAGGGGTGTCGCTAGAGATGGAACTTTAGTCCATAGCAATATTTGATGACCCCTACCCAAGGCCAATGCTCAATCTCACCCTTCAGCCTCTATAGTCTTGCATCCCTCATCCCCATCTAATAGTGCTCTAATTGTATAAATTATAAAAGGTCAATGCACTATTATTCAATTGCCAGAATATGGTGCTAATGAACTCCAAATGCAGAGCTTTAACTCCCAAACACACTCTTTAACAACAATTATGGTACAGTTATTTTATAAATAACTGTTCTTCTAGCACAGAAAGTGATGCAGATCTATAATATCATACTTTACTCTGTAGTTTAAAATAAATAAATGGAAGATTAAAATAAGTCGATAATGTTGATGTGAATATGATGTGCAAGAACCTTGTTAAGAAGCTTATTTGTAGGCTTGTAAAAATTTAGCATCCTGACAAATAATTACACTTTTTATCTGAATGTTTAGGATTCTATAATCTTATTTGTATCATTTTAACATGTAAATAGGTGTTGGTGCCATTAGAATTTTCAATATAGTTTTTGCTAAATGTTTTCTCAAACATTTTATTTAAATGAAAAAAAATAACTTCACATTTTTATTTCAGGTAAATCCCAATGTGATATAAATGTGTATTTTACTATCGACACATCGGAGAGCGTGGCAGTGAAGTTCAACTCTGGCATGGATGAACTGAAAGTCTTTGTTAGTATGTTTGTAACAAAGTTAAAAGAAATCAAAATACGAGGCAGCCAAACAAAATGGAAATATGGAGCACTTCACTTCTCAGATCATGTAGAGTCCATCATCTCCTTAACACACGAGACAACTACATTCATCAAAGCAATCAATCAGGTCAAATACATTGGTCGTGGGACATTTGTGGATTGTGCTCTGAAAAACATGACTGAAGCTCTCCAAAAGGAGTCAGAAGGAGGCATAAAATTTGGCATTGTGCTTACTGATGGCCACATCACTGGAAACCCCTGCGGTGGAACCATAGAGGCAGCTGAGGCCATGAGAAATGCTGGCGTTAAAACATTTGTGGTCGCTACAAGTTCAGATAGTATAGAAGGTGAACTACATGTGATAGCCAGCAGCCCAGTGGAAATATATAGAAATAAGTATCTGATAAATCCAAGCAGCCAAAGGAACAGAACAATTAGTAGGATCATTAACTTAATGGTAAGTGAGAGCTCTGGATTATGATGGTTTTCTTTTAGAGGTAGGGAATGCTCTATTTATTAAAACCATTAGATATTTTACAAAACAAATTAATTAATTTTAAAGCAGGAAATAATTTACTTATGGATGAAAGTGTTTTATTATGTTTGCAACCATCTTGTTAAATGCATACAACACCAATAATCATAATATTACATATTAAAATTGACTGCTCATATGTTTGACCATTTGAAAATGTAACTGAGTATGAAAAGTAATGAACTCCTAGAGTAATGAACATCACTAAATACAGACTATGGGAAAAGTAGACAGTGAGGAAAGGCACATATATAATAGGGCTCTAACTACAGTATATTAGAGTCACCAGTTTGATTCCTGCTCAGCTCTCTGAGGTCAACTCATCTCCATTTAACGAGCCAGTTCAGCATCCATACATACAATCATATAAACTGATACCACTACAAAAAATTCAACTACTTGCAGTTGTGGTCTTCCTATTGTATGCATAAGTGTTCCCACCTTGATTGAATGGGACAGCACTCTTACTCAAGCCAACTCTTACTTAATCAAATCATTTTGTTAGTGCTCCATCATCACATTGATTTAATCAAACCGTTACATTAATCATACTCAATATCTGATAGGTCTTATCATACTGATAGATGGTTCCAAGACTAGAGACCGCAGGAGATGCCCTGGACCACCATGATTGCTGGGATAAAAAAGTGTGACACCTAGAAGAAGGTGTTTGCACACAATGGGTTAAACTCTATTAGACAAGATAAGCTTACCTCTTATTACTGAATTCAATTTCCTATAGAAATAAGTAGCAGAATTGGAGTTATGTGTATCTTGTACAACAGAATGCAGACCATCATATCAATATCTATTGTTTTAGTGTGATGATCCATGCAATTTCTTCATTTTGTGTACACATGATTCATAAATTACTCTGTTTAAGTTAGGGTCACCTGACAGCTGAATTCCCATCAATACACTTTCTATTGTTTAATCCATGTTGAAAATTACTGTGCAACCCATACAGGTGAAATGTCATTGTCACTGGCATTTGCCTTTATTGTGAATCACCAATTGTTAATGTAACTGGTAAGACAATCACCTTTCAATGAATGAATAATAGCTGTAAGAGTTTGCATGAAGAGCTCCACTTCATAATTTTTCACTAACTACATCTTGTTATCACCCGTTTGATCTTCCAAGATGGGCAAGTACACCCTGTAAGGTTTTGGACATCAATGTCAGGGAACATGTTGGCCGTCAAGCTATTATTAAATAGTCAGAATTTTAGATGTCAGTTTGATCCCAGCTTTCAGAGTGAAAGTAAAGATATCACTATATCACTAACACATATTGTGAGGAATTTAAAATACTTCAGAAAAGTACATAAAGATAGAACATATCTTCATTAAATTGTCAGCAGTGTTTTAAATTCCCTGCGCATAGTGTAACTATTCCAGCAGCTTCTTCCCTCATGGTGAAGGTCAATATCAGCTTTGCAGATGAGAAGTTAGAACTGTTTCTTTTTCTCCGATGGGTGGATTGCTGCCTCCTTGAGTTGGCAGATGATGCAAGCACCGGGTAGATCTTAATGTAGCTTTGATTAGAAGAACTTGACTACAATACTTTGAGTTCTTTTTAAAAAAGATTGTTATTTTAAGTTATCTTTTTGTATGTATATTATTTTTGTTATATTTTTTTTCTCCAATGGGTTGGCATAATAACAAATAAACTACACAATACAAAGTGTGCCAAAAAGCAGCCTGAAAATAAGCAACAAGGATCCAGACTTCATAAATATGTTTACCGATAAGATGTATGTAAGCTATGAACCTGTCCATTTCCATTGTGTCCTTGTATTTAGAGTGGATATGGACATTTTCAAGAATTTACTGATTTGGCATCCAGATGGAGACTATAAGTTTATTTTCACCTCCAGTGAAACCATCTAATGTGTGCAGAATCAAAAAGGCTACACAGGCAGGATTTAAAATGGTGGGACAATAAGTTCTGTACTTGTTTCTATAGAGGTTGAAGTTTAGGAGCACCATACAACATAGTCAGTTCCAAACTCGTCACATAATTTCCTGCAAACATATATTATTATTATCACTGGTATTTTTATAGTGCCAGCATATTCCGTAGCGCTTTACAATATTATCAAAGGGGAAGATTTAACAATAAATGAGACAATTACAAAAACTTACAGGAACAATAGTTTGAAGAGGACCCTGCTTAAACGAGCTTACAGTCTATATGTCACATTGGTGCTCATACAATATCTTCCTACGGGTAAGCTATAGTCTTCTTTGTTTTAAAATCTGAAATTAAGCCAGATTTCTACTGTCATTTGAGCCCACATGATATTAAATGTTAGCCATAGCTTTTTAAGAGATTGTACCTGTGTTCCCAATTATAAGACCTCTTTCATTGAACACCACGTCTCTGGATTGTGATACTAATATGTGGTTGATTAAACAAAGACATATTTGATACAACCTAGATGTTGTTTCAGAAAGCCAATAGATGTAACCAATGTTCTTAGAAAATTATGCAAGGAGGAGAGTCTTGCTCTGTTATATTTTTAGCATCTTCTACCCTTGCATATATTCATTCCCCACAGCATTTTATCACAATACATTTTGGTGAAGAATGAAACTTTTGATATTATATAGCATATTATAGTGAAATATAAGTAGTACTTGCAAAACAAACAAGCATAAGCAATTTAATTCTGCCTTATACCACTTTACTTGTTATTGAAGTATTTGATTTCCAAAATACAAAATGCAACCTTTGCAATATTATACTGCTGTGATAATTTGTTTTATTCTGTTTATTTCCTTTAGGTCAAAGAAGCTGAGTCAGAGGTAATCAATTGTATAAATCATCTGCATATAGAAAGAATCCATTGACTGAAAACCCCCCCAAAAAATCATATGAAGGTCATCAACATTTTAAGAAATGGTTCTGTACAAGCACTTTACTTTATTCATAATAGGATAAAAAGAGCATACAGTCAGTGTAAAGAATTAAAGAAAACGTAGTTATTAGTAGGTGATTTTATTGAAAATAGCATTTATACATTATGTTTCCAGGAAAACAATTATGTCTTGAATCTCCAAGAACAAATATTCTGATAATACATTTAAAATTGACCTTAATTGATTACTTTTTAAAAATAACATTTAGTTCTCTGTTACCAAGGCTGACTCGATGACTTCTACAAACTCAAAATATGTCGCTGTATCTACTTGACCACTCTCATTAAAACTTCTTGTACTTAGCATGGCTTTTCTACATATGGTGCCTTCGTCAAATTCCCCCAGGTGCTGCCGTCATCTCCACTTTTGTGTTCCAAACGATGTTCCCTTTAATTACAATTTTGCTCTAATTGTAAGAATAGATCAATTAATCCTCTGACTGGGACAAACGTATTGGCTATGTGTAATCATACATGGATAGGTCACAATTAATAATACTGTTCATAAAGCAAAATATGCTTAGCCTTACTTTTCATAAGTATGACTTTGCAACCAAAGAGAAACTGTGTGCAGATCGATATACATATGGATATATTTATTTGTTATGCATAGCATCTATAACTTGTATTCTGTACCTGTAGTGTAATATATGTACTGTAATAAATTGACATTGGTATTGTCATTTCAGTGCAGTGGAACAATATGCTTACCAATGGCAGGCGTATCCGGCTTGAAAGGCATGAAAGGGTATAAGGTAAGGCACGTAAATTGTGCATAAGACAATATCAATTTTATACAGTTTGTTTTAGATTATTACTATATCCATGAGGTGAAAAAAATAATATCCAAATAATTTTGATGATTATTCTAAAAACGGATTATATAAAGCTTGCTGATATTCCATATAAAGAACGAGGGCAAAAGAGGTAGCTACAATATGTAGAGTAAACAGTTTATTCTAATCCTGTGTAGAACAAAGAGAAAAAATTGCATATATGTATTAGTGAAACATTATTCTAACATTATTATAATAGCAAACCAAAAATATTCATAAACTACTTGTCTTATTATTTGGCTCAATTAAAGTCATCATCATCTTATGAAAACAAATATCAGTCAATTCTGCACCTTGGTATATAAATATATTATGTAAACCAAATGCACAGGTTGTCAAACAATGCACAACATACATTTAGGGAGGAGATAATTAAATGTTTTTTATTGGTATATTTTTTCTTGTACATGACTTGACTGCGTTGAAACTGCATGTTAATGTTTCTTCCTATTAACAGTACTTCTGTATGTGTTTGCAATATATTTCAAATTCAGGGCATTAAAGGAAATATTGGATTGCCAGGTGATTCCGGTGCTGTAGGACCTCCGGTAATTATCCAAATTTTTTTACTACTTCAGTAACAGTGCCACTACAGTACTGACATTGTACATATTCTAATTCTTTGTAATAATGCAAATACCGACAGTGAGTGTTAACCTATTTATTGTGCCTATTTGGTAATAGATATGATGAGACTTTAAAAACAAACATATAATTTATGTATTATCATATTTTTCAAAAATAAATTATTGGAACACACATTAGTGAAGTCAGACTTGTCAATGCAGTTATATTGGTACATAGGTTTAAAAAAGACTTGGTTACATCAAATTCAAACTTTCACACTTCTGTTCGCACTGTTTATCCATTTTAAATCTCCTTTTTATTGTTTTTGACTCCAGTTTTACAAACCAACTGTTGGATCAACAAGCTGTCAATATCATATTAGTAGTGATAGCCTTGAATAGCCTGCATCCTGACCAGTGTGAAAGGCATGAAAGGGTATAAGGTAAGGCACGTGTCACCTGGCAGGCGGGCAGGCAGGCTGGCGGGCACACAAGGGAGCACTCTCCCCTGTGTGCTCCCTCTTCAGCTCCCTCGCGCACTGATACCGTAGCCGGAAGATGACGTCATCTTCCAGCTCTGGCATCAGTACGCGGCGCACGAGGGAGCTGAAGAGGAAGCACTCAGGGGAGAGTGCTCCCTCGCGTGCCCGTCAGCCTGCCTACCCGCCCGCCGGGTGACACCACTGGACCCCAGGAAATCCCCCCAGCACTCCAAAAGGTAAAGAGGCTGGGGGATAAAAAAAATTTTTTCAAAAATGTGTGTGTGTGTGTTAGAGTGTGGGTGTGTTTGTTAGTGTTAGAATGTGTGTGTTAGTGTTAGAGTGTGTGTGTTTGTGTGTGTGTGTTAGTGTGTGTGTGTGTGTGTCTGTGTGTGTTAGAGTGTGTGTGTGTGTGTGTTAGTGTGTGTGTTAGAGTGTGTGTGTGTATGTGTGTGTGTGTTAGAGTGTGTGTGTTAGTGTGTGTGTTGTGTTAGAGTGTGTGTGTGTGTTAGAGTGTGTTGTGTGTGTTGTGTGTGTTAGTGTGTTACTGGAGTGTGTTGAGGTGTGTTAGAGTGTGTGTGTTAGAGTGTATGTGTTAGTGTGTGTGTGTTAGTGTTAGAGTGTGTGTGTTAGTGTGTGTGTGTGTGTTAGAGTGTGTGTTAGTGTTTGTGTTAGTGTGTGTGTGTTAGTGTGTGTGTGTGTGTGTGTGTTAGAGTGTGTGTTAGTGTTTGTGTTAGTGTGTGCTAGTGTGTGTGTTAGTGTGTGTGTGTTAAAGAGTGTGTGTGTTAGAGTGTGTGTGTGTTAGTGTGTGTGTGTGTTAGAGAGTTTGTGTTTGTGTGTGTTAGAGTGTGTGTGTGTTAGTGTTAGAATGTGAGTGTGTGTGTGTGTGTTAGTATTAGAGTGTGTGTTACAGTGTGTCAGTGTGTGTCTGTTACTGAATGTGTTAGTTTGTGTGCGTCTGTTAGTGAGTGTGTGTTTTGTAAGTGAGTGAGTGTGTGTCTGTCAATGAGTGTGTGTGTCTGTCAGTAAATGTGTGTGTCTGTTAGCTAGTGTTAGCATGCGTCTGTTCATGAGAGTGTGTGTGTCTTAAGCACTTACCTTTCTCCAGCGCCGGACTCCCTTGGCGCTGGGGATCTCTCCTTCCCGATCCGCCTCTCGGCTCCAAATGCGCATGCGTGGCAAGAGCCGCACAGGCATTCAAACCGCCCATAGGAAAGCATTACTCAATGCTTTCCTATGGACGCTCAGTGTCTTCTCACTGTGATTTTCACAGTGAGAATCGCATAAGCTCCTCTATCAGCTGTCAATGAGACAGCCACTAGAGGCTGGATTAACCCTCAGTGAAACATAGCAGTTTCTCTGAAACTTCTATGTTTTCAGCTGCAGGGTTAAAGCTAGGGGGACCAGGCACCCAGACCACTTCATTGAGCTGATGTGATCTGGGTGTCTGTAGTGGTCCTTTAAGTGTATGTGTATCTGCATGCACTAGCGTACATACCGCGGTCGCAGGGGTCGCAGCCCCGCGACCCCTGTAAACAGGTGCCCGCCGCCATGTGTTGCGGCCCCAGCCCGCGCAGAGTAAGCGTGCGGGGGGAGGGCCCACGGATCAGTTTTCGCACCAGGGCCCCATGGGTTGTGTGTGTACGCCACTGATCCTGACCCTTTACAGTAACTATTAGATTTGATAGAACTATTTCTTTTTGCAGATAATTCCACGAATTATTCCACTACTTATTGTTCTTACTTTAAATAATACTTACCTCTACAGGCTATAAAATGTCATTTCTTCAGGTCACAGTAGATAACCTTTTATCATTTGTTAAAGAACATGTTACCGAGGAGCTGTTTGGACTTTTCATGTATATAAATAATGTTATATCCCTCCTAAGATGATGTTTTTCAACTTATCTAGAGTTTGTTAGAACTAACATCTTGCAAACCCCTTCTTGTTTTTTTAGCCAACTTTTTTTTGTAATTCTATAATACCTTTTTTATAACATAATTTATATAGAGAAAAATGTATTAATTGTCATCCGAAATATTGCTAAGTTTTTATACACATGACATTACCTTACTGGCTTTTTTAGCTGATGACTGACATTTCTCAATTAGAGTTATGTAGTCTGTCTCCTATAATTATTGCCTACTAATTTACAATTATCTATAACTCAACCCATTTCAGACTAAATGTTACATGTTAATTCCTCATCCCAATACATATAACTTTTCATTTATCTACAATTAAACTATTCGGCCACTTGCCTGCCAAGTCCCTAATGCATCCAGTCTCTCTGTTGAGCATCTGCTCACATATCTCTACTTATCTGCAAGCATTGACACGTGAATTATGATGCCAAATGCATGGTTATTAATAATCAGATTGATGAAAATTGGGCCTAGGACAGTACTCCGCATACCACTTCAATTTTCGTATGTGCACTCTTTCCTCAAGAAAATCTTTACTCCAAGAAGAATCGTTTTCATGTAAACCATTTCCTTTTCATTTTTTGCTTTAATCTTTCATATTGCTCCATGTGCAATCCAAGTAGATCACATCTGTTATAGTACCTAATCTATTTGTCTGCTGACTTCTTCAAAGGGACATATAGTAACCAGAACAACTACATTTTAATGTAATTCTGGTGTCAACAGCCTGTCCCTTTAGGCTTTTTAATGTAAGCACTGCCTGATTAAAAATGATGTATATATCCTTAAAATTAACCTTAATTGATTCCTTTTATCAAATAGCTATTTCAATTCTCTGTTACTAAGACTGACTCAAAGATGCCTTCTACAAACTCAATTTGTTGTTGTACCTACCTGGCCACTCTCAGTAAAACTTATTGTACTTCGCATGCCTTCTCTACATTTGGTACCTTTTTTCAAATTGGTACCCGGTGTTGCATTCAGATTCTTCTGGAATAAAGGTGAGTAAAATATCTTTTAAACTGGAGGCAAGCAGGACAAGAGACTTAAAATGTGTTTTTAAAACTATAGTGTCAGAAATGCATGTTTGTATTCGTGATACTATAGTGTTCCTTTAAGTTAGTTTGACATAATCTGTCCTTCATAAAGCCATGTTGATTCCTATATTTAAATTGTTATTAACAATTCATTCTTGAATATTATCCCTTAATAACCCTTCAAATAATTTCCCAACCACAGATATTAGGCACCATGTTTGCTTTTCTCCAATGCCCCTGCATGATTCCTGAAAGAAAAGAGTCTTGGAAAATCAAAAACAGTGGTTTTGATGATTATATATTGAACTTCCTAAGTACCTATCGGTGAATATCATTTGGCAGTGGAGAATAATAGAATAAATATTTTTAATTTCTCCTTTTTTAAAATGTTATTTAGGGTGAAGCAGGAATAGAAGGTCCAATTGGATTTCCAGGTCCAAAGGTAGGACTTTCTCTTTTATGTTATTTAGGGAGTAAAAATAACGTTCATGGCTACTTGCTTCTATCATCACCATTTTTTAAAATAATTGTTGAATCAATTATTTAAGTATCATTGTGTTAATTATTAATTTTATGTTTGAAGGGTGAACCTGGACAAAAAGGAGAACAAGTAAGTTATGTTAAATTATTTTAATCTGAGTATAGTTTTTGGGGGTTTATATATTTCCATCATAAGCAATTTGCTAAAATCTGTAAATGTTTTCTTATTTTCTAGGGCGATACTGGTGGAATAGGGGCAAAGGTATAGTAAAGAACAGTTTTTAACTTTATGGTGCCAAGGTAAATATATATAGAAAGAATTGTAGACCATGAACAACATAGTATGTATGTATGTATGTATGTCTATGCAGAGCCGTTTTAACACATGGGCACGCTGCTCCATCTGCATAGCAGCCCATCAGGCTTACCAA